CTCGTGAGGTCGATTTGTACCGACACTGACTAATACTCGAAGAGCGCGCGCTATTATATTTGTATTAGGCGAAGGTACGCGATCCTGTTTAGTGTGAAACAAAACGCTTAATGTAAAAATATTAGTTGTTTGTCAACCTTTCACTTTGCAATATGCATTTGGATTATTGTTTTATGTGAGAAGGTGGCAAGCGAGCTGGCGGTTCACCTGACGTTAAGTGATATCCGCCGCCCATAGATATTTGAAACACCAGTAGGATTTCAGACGCGTTGCAGGCCTTTTTATAAAGTGGGACCCGGTTACCTCACTCACCAGGCAAAATGGAGAAGTATAACAGTTCCACTTCACGCCGGTCTTCTGTGAGGTCGTGGTACTACCACATTGATGCAATACCAAAGACTAATGCGTGCCGTGGATCATACAGAACGCTAAATTACATACCCTATTGCAGCAAGTAAAGTTTTGGTTTAATAAAGGCTAAATATAATTGCAAGCAGGACATGTACCTGTATTACCATATTTATATGCTGAAAGATAATCTAAACGAAATAGTAAATAGTATAAAATGTTATTTATTGTTATTTAGTAGCAGCGTCTAATAGCTTTTCAAAAAACGAAATATCATAAATATCTTCGGATGAGTTTCCAACCATTAACATTTTAGTGCATTAACACAAAAAGTATCTCCACATTAATCAAGTTAATACCACTTTAACAAGCATTGCTGAGAACTTCTCAGCACCTTTTTCAAGTTATTTAGAAATATCAGTGTTTTAGCAATGATTCAGTGTGTCGGTCGGAATGCAATCTCACACATTAGCCGACGATGTTCTGCCATCGCTTTTGCTCTAAGTGAGAGATATGTGGCCCGTTGTCGTTAGCGCGTAGAGTACACGCTCAGAGTTTGATACTCTTTTTTTAAAAAACGACTTATTCTTTTTTTTAAAAATCACTTATCAGTTGCCACTGTCTTAAAAGTATTATTAGCATAATTTAAACGTTCATTCTAGAATTATTTCATTACTACTTTTATCAATTTTATTACTTTCTATTAAGTTTAATCCCGTTAAAAGCTGTATGACATTTTAGCTTCCTTTTTCAAAACTGTATTATTTTTCAGCCCCTTTAGAGGAATATGTTCGGAATATGTTGTATTTACATATTTATTTTATAACGGTTCTTTAAAATAAATACGTAAATGGCTACGTAGAGTTCAAATGCCGATTCGTCCGATAAACATCAAGCACGCTAGGAATTCAGCGGATTCCACGCAACAACACTCACTGTGTAGATAGAGTTTTATATATTAAAATATAAAAAGTTCAGACGAATGAGTTATTTAGTTACATGAAATTGTAACAGTTCAATAATTTGGTTCAAATGTAATTATCATTCGAATTTCACGACACTGTTACTCTCTTGGTTCTTAAGTTTCTAATGTGTGACTTTTAATCATAACAGGCTATAAATTTAGTGAATTATTTACTGTAACAATGAACTTTAGTTCAGTTTACTATAAGATCGCTACTCAAATTACTTACACTAGTCTGTTTCATCCTCAAACCAAAAAAGTGGATGCAATAGCCCAGGCATCTATTTCATAAAACGTTTATTCTACTAATAAGTAAAGTAGCCTATGTTTCACTGACTACCTAGTACCTTGTCATCATAAATTAATGCACCGTTTGGTTTTTAATGTTATTGTAACCTACAATAAAATAATTTCACCCACTCATTAAATCAAAACACTTATTATTTTTTGAATGAAGACAAAATTAAGTAGTAAAAATAACAAGAATCATTCAAGCTCTTAAGATTTAGTCCTTATAAAATATATGACCCATCTTTATATGAAGGGGCTATCACTCGGGATAGTTTAGAAAGTGTAAATCCTCCATGGCGGGCCCATTAGTGAGGGGAATTATTTGATATCTTATCGACAAAATCGGGTAACCGCTCTCGGTTATTGTTTATTGACATTTCCTGGGCCGCCGGTCGAGAAAGTATCGATAGATAAAATCGATTGATTATGAATGTTGTCCCGTAAGTGCATGCAATGACATCGGCTTTTCAACAATGCAAGATATATTTCGCCTTCGGGGCTGTTCGATTGGAATAGCGATATCGCAATTGCTATCGACAGATAACATAGTATGATTAATTATTGGGTTGACTAAGTCACCAATAGGCTAAAGACATTTTAGCTAACCAGCGCACTTTACGCTGATGGCCAAAAAACACGAAAACTAAGATTAACTAAGGTGCGCTTAGAAAATAACTTGAAATTATAGGTAAATGAAAAAAAAGTTGTTACCGGTTGCCGTAGAAACACAATAAAGTTGGTGTAGCGCATCGTAAAAATTTCACTTACATAATTTTAACATTTAACTCCAATATGTTTAAAGCATAAAATTTTCATATAACGAGGAATAAGAAATAGAAGAGACGGTATCGTATTATATTCAGCTTAATTTACATGAAGAGCATTCTTTGACAAATAAGTATATTTATATCAACTACTGTGGATAAGAAAAGGTTCGAAATTGACAATCATGAACAGTTATTTCATCGAGCGTACATTATTGTATAGTGAAGCTAACACTGCAACGATCCAAAACGGTATCGAGTAATACTGAACACAAAGATTGTGCAACATTAAACAGTTCATATTTACGCGTGGTCCAGAGACTCAATAGAGATGTATATCGCATGGAGTAGGTCGTTCCAAATCATCGATTGTTCGAGATATATCGTTCGTTATTAAGGCGAGTTTATAACAAAATATGTATCACTGTAAACATCATATTTGGAATAAGACTTTGAAGTCATATTTTATCGATAACGTTTTGCCTTAACACCATAATTATAGTGAGGGGCCTTATCTTAAATTGAGATTAATTGACGTTCAAGTTTTTATGATTTGTGACGGTTAAATACTTTTTTCCGTTAGTAACCCTAACAATGGCATAGCTGTAATAACATGACTGAAGCATAGTTGATAATTCCTCTAATTTCTTTTCATCGTCATTAGTACAAAAATAACATTTATGTCACTTCAAATAACGATGCAATTAGGTTTTTTATAATTGTGTTTTTAATAATATTAATGAAGAGTTCGTTTAATTTGTAATTTTTAGTGCTAGTCTGTGCAATTAAGGTCATAATTTAATTTTACAAAATTTTAAGAGTTCGTTGTTTAATTTTAGGCATATTTTAATTTTAATAAAGAGGTTTTGTTGACTACTAGAGAATGGGTCAACTCTTGATATAAGGTGATTCAATAATCAATCGCTTATACAAATGTGGTTCTGATTTTCGGATGTCTGTAGAGCCAAAATCAATATTGCATATTCGTATCGAGTATATTACTGGTTTGAAAGATTTTTTGGTCGAATTTTACCCACGACGGAACGGAGACGGTATATGCGTTTGGGGTGAGAGGATGTTTGTTTGTGCAAGTCCAAGTTGCTATTTTTTATAAATTCACGTTCACTAAACGCACTACAGCTATCTTCATTGGTCGTAATTGTTTTTTTTTACAAAATTAACACAAAACACTTATGAAGTTAACATAGCAAACATCTGGAGCTGGAATTTTCTTTTATTAATAAATAAATATTTTAGAACACATTTGTTACACAACGTTCTCTAGTCCCAAACTAAGCAACACTTGTACTATGGGTGCTAAAAAACTGATAGACATATTATACATATCAAACAGTGTCTGGAACACTAGAAAAACACTATGCTCATCACACAATATTTTTTCAATAGTGGGGATCGAACCCACACCCTCTGGCGCAGGAAGCAGGTACACTACCTACTAAGCCATTCGGGTCGCCATTAAATAGACATCATTGAAATTAAGTTGCTCTAAAAATGCCGAGGGTGAGTAAAGGGTGGGAAAGGGTGAGAGGGGATGTAAAATATTATAAGCATACTTACAATATCTATCCACACTATCAGGAATTCAAGACTGGAATATGTCACATATGCATTTACCTTTACGTCGAGTGTTTCTCTTTCTGTTCGACTTCTTGTCTTAGTATCATAAGCTACGGGTGCATTATGTTCGTATTAACTGTTTTATGAACAAAGCACGTCAACTCGCGTGGGAGTTAAATCTACCTTAATGACAATATAGATCTGTATCTGCTTTCGTAAAGCAAAGCGCGAAATGCGGTCTCTACTTTCATGGCTCAAGTCTAAAGTTCTGTAGCAATGTATTTAGGTAATTATTCGTCGTATAACCAGCTTGCGGCATACGTAAAATCAATGGAGTAACCTTATTTATAACATAGTAGAGATCTGGAGGGTTATGTTCAAATTAAGAACTTTATAGTCGAATCCGCTTATTCTGTTTAATTATGTGGGGATATCTTAATTTACTTACAGCAACCGAAGGACAAGGGACATTTGGAACAATTTTAAACAACACCAATACATGAACACCTCTACATATTCCATATTTAACATAACCTATTGTATCTATATACAGGTGGTTAAATAAGTTAGTAAATAGGTTAGTATCTATATACTAACCTTTGATTGACCTGACATAGAAAGCGAATCATTTTTAGGGTTCCGTACACAAAGGGTAAAATGGAACCCTATTACTAAGACTCCGCTGTCTGTCTGTCTGTCTGTCCGTCTACCACCAGGCTGTATCTCATGAACTGTGATTAGACAGTTGAAATTTTCACACATGGTGTATTTCTGTTGCCGCTATAACAACAAATACAAAAAAAAACGGAATAAAAAAATATTTTACTCCCATACGACAGACGGGTTTTTTGTCGTTTTAATAGATAATGGTACAGAACCTTTCATGAGCGAGTCGGACTAGCACTTGGCCGATTTTTTACGCCACAGTGTATGGGCATTCTGGTCGTTGTAAATTGAAATAATTGTTTTTCGACCTCACTTTCGCACCATTAATCAATATCATTTCATTATCGGTAATATGAAAGCTTTTTTAAACAAGCCTTTATTTGTTCCAGTTTTCAAACGCTTCGACATAAATCAACAGCCTCCGACATCATCGAACTTTGGATTTTCTAAGGTATGTTTTCTTTTTATATTTTACATGTTATAGTTTTTAATATTTGTGCGAACATTACAAATTGTAATAAAACTAGTTTACGAGTTTTATCATGATTTATTTTATTAATATAATATAATTATCTCATTTAGTAACAATAATGGTCACGGGATGGAATGGTGACGGTCTAATAATCCTGGCAATAATAATTTTATTAGTGATAAATCGCGATAAAAACTGTGAATTTTTAATTAAATATAATATGTATGTGTAGTATAATATGTGTAGCAACAGATGAATAAAACAAAATTTGGTTAGATAATTCATACCGTACAAGCTGCCTTGATTATTAAATTCTTTTATTGTTTTCGTATTTCCCACGGTAAACATTGGCGTCTCCTGGAAGTGTTTAGGTTTTCTGTCACTTTCTTTCAACAGCGAAACGGCGAAGATAAAAAGGGACAGAAATAAGTACCAGAACGTTAATTTAAATGGTTGCGTAAGCCTTTATTAAGCAGGCGTGGTTAGCGGCAACCACTCATTAACTTTGATTTGGGGATTTTAACCATAATTTGGAGTGATTTTTCTCCCGTTACTGAATGAACGTATTACATGAAATAACTCGCAAAAGCTTATAAATGTTCTCGGTTCTTTAGAGACATATTTTCGTAGACTGTATTTATTTTTGTCTTTAAAGACATGGTTAAGCATTTGCATAGAATTGTACCACCAACATTTTCTATCAACGGTTGTGTAGATGTATATCTGTTATGTTAAACTATATATATTTAAATATTATAACAGCTTGGGGTTATTGTTAAATGATATAAGGGTTAATAAACAGTAATTGTTTTAGACAAAAGGCCAGTATATGAAAGCGAGTGTGCGAACTCTTTATTACATATTATGCTTTATAAATATAGTACAAAGTTACACACGTTTAAACTCAGGGGTTATATTAAAAGTATAAGCTAAGTCTTCGGTTTGACGCCACATTGGTTATCTCGCGTGAGTTTATTACAGTTGTTAACCTTGTGGATCTATCTGTATCCAAATCTCCTTCCAATCTTATCTCATTGCCGATGTTATCGGATATGAAGTGACGACGACAAGAGTGACTAATAACCATAGTCGTTATTTCAAGAATCCATAATTAGCTGTGTGGTAACAGTTAGTGGTAACCCCACGTTCGAGACATGGACATATAATTCTAGGTTGCAAGCCCAGAAAATTGATTAACCCCTCTTGGATCAGCATATGCAAAAAATAGTATGTAAAATATTAGCAAGTTATGAAATTTAAGGTTGAACTAGTGGGCAGTGACCCTGCCTCTTGCGCCAGAGGATGTGGGTACTTGTAACGAGTAATCGGCTAAGTCGGCATTATCATCGCTAAAACACCTTCACAATTCCCATTGTCCTCGAAATTCCAGCTGACTTCGCTTTAGTTCCGAGAAATTTTAGGCGACCCCCCAGCTACGGTGCTACGTTCAAATCACAGTTGATATCAATGGCGCCTATACACTAAATAGATTAAACTCGGGCCGTTCCGTTCCAACATGACAGTGTATCCTACAATAGGGCTAATTCCCCTATAGAATCGAACAGCTGTGGCCCAACCTCGCTGGATTATTCGAGAAATACCCGCTTGTCGTCGTGTGGCGAGATGGCGACGCGATTGTGTGGCAACTTAATATATTCCCGCCATAACTCAGAGGTATCGCCGTCGAGAATAATAGAATAGAGAGCGGGAACAGAACTCCGATATACATAATAGGCGAAATATTTACATTTACTTTCACGCAAAACGTATGCAAGCGGAATGCGCGAAAGCGTATTGAAGATTTGCTATTTTTTGATTCAGCAACGGGGTCAAAATGTATGTGCTAATAATGACCTTACTGACGACCTAAGCACGCATTATGAAATTTACAAAAGTAATCACATTATTTTAGTACGTTATTTGTATGTATCCGGGAATTTGTGATATTTGGCAACGATGAATCTCTTATTATTGAAATAAAGTTATTTATTACGCGGCTACTAAAATTCAGTCCTTCGTAAAAAAAATGTTTATCGCTGTTGTTTAATCGACCAATGGTATGCAATGTCAAAGACAAGATTTTTTTTCTGACCAATATTTATGCTTGACGCCGCCGTGTCGAGCACACGAGTGTGGAGGCAACCAGTCTTAAGTGCCACCGTTGTTCTGTACCTTAATCTGATTCCGCCAGTCCATTAGTCGCGTTTGTCCAATTAAAGCGGTTTTGGTGAAATGCAACTCGATTCATTACCAGCGTGAATGTGTTTGTTTTAGCCTATGCCTTGTTTTAGCTCCATTCAAAACGAGTGATAATCATTCATTTAGTAATTATGATTCGTTAATTGAATGTATTCTTTTTGACAGGCGCTCAACGGTTTCCTGATGATGATGACACAGAACGGCAAACTTCTCTACATATCGGATAACGCTGCAGAATATCTCGGACATTCGATGGTAGGCAGAGTTTTCGAACTCCATTATCTTTTTAGTTTTAGTATTAATTCATTTATATTGTTGTAGAGCATTTAACTTATATATATTATCATTATTGATAGTCGACAAATTTGAAGGGAAGGCCACGTTTTACAAACTTTAATTCTTCAGGATATAAAAAGGTAAAGTTGACCGTATGTAAAAGATAATATTTTAATTATGACGTCTCCTTAGGACTGGCATTCAAGACCCCTTTCACGAGATCTTATAAGATGACAGATCTAGTATTACCGATTCACGTGATTTAATTAGTACATCTAAATACTGTTAGTGGCTTTTGCTGTAACTAAATTTTAGGGAATGTTTCATTGTTTTTATGTTATACATAAATATATTTTTTCCATGAATTATACATTACTTCGGGGAGAAAAACACAAATTAATAATTGTGAGAAACCTTTTCACATCTTCATCCGGTATAAGTTGATAGACTCACCACTTTCCAAATGTAAGATGTGAACACCACTAGTGTATCTCCTTATACTCCATCAAGGATGAATTATAATGTTAACTATCGACGAACACGTAAATAATACTAATGTTGATGTAGGCCGTTAAAAAGACAAATAAGCTTTAAGTTAACCTCCATTTCAGCTCATACATCGTTTTAATTAAGCTTCAGTGTAGGTGATTCCCTTATCAATGCTATAAAAAGAGAAAGGCAAGACGAGAGTAATAATGAGCATAAAACAAGCAGCTTGCTTTAATTGCCTAATATCTCAATGAATACCGAAGAAATTGATTAAGTGAAAACTCCTTCTGTGGACCTAGTAGAAGTCACCGAGTAAAAAAAATATTGGAAATTTGAGCTTTTTATTTTAAGGTTAGTTACAATATATCAGTCATATACGTTGAAAACTCACGCAAACTATGTATGTTCAATTTTAACTGACATTTTAAGGAAACTCTGATCTCTTAAAAACTTTCTTCTATCCAACAATAAATTAATGATCTTGGAGTCTCTAAATGTTTCCTATACGTGAATGTGTGTTGTTCTGCTCTGAGAGCAGACCTCCTCAACAGATTTGATCACTTTGTCAATAACTGCATTCGGCTTATTTTCTTCACATGTCCACGTAATCTACGTTAATCTTCGCTCCAACCTCGTGTCTCCTAATCCTCCTACCTCTCTCTACCTCCAGAACTCTTCGCTCCTCAAACAACTTTTTACTTCTTTGACGTCCCTACAACTCTAGCTCCGTCTAACATTCGTTTCGTGCCCAATTTATTCTTCTTTGGAATGCACTTCCTGTCGAGAAATTAGAAGGACTGCATATCATTATGCGTTAAAACTAGAGTACGCATCACAGCGGCAACAGAAATACATCATCCGTGTAAAATTTCAATTGTCTCTCTATCAGATTCATGAGATTCAGCCTGGTGACAGACGGTAGACACACAGACCGATAGCAGAGTCATAGTAATAGGGTCCCGTTTTAACCTTTGGGTACGGAATCCTAAAGAACATACATACTAATTGAGACCTCCTTTTTTCGAAGTCGGTTGAAAAGAAGGAAACATAAAAGGATTCGTTCTTCGTCTATCGAATCCGTAGGCACTCTTTTATCAACCAAAAGCAAAGTTCGACCAACTAATACGTTTTCACGAGGCTATTTAGCAAAGGCGGAATAGCACCGCGACACGCCCAATTTTTCTCCGCGCACAAAGCTCGCCGGTGGGCCGCGGCGCACCGGATACAAATCGTACCGCATCTGACCCCGAATAGTTCCTCGTTAGCCCGCGCCGGCGTCGGTAAATTAATCACTACGCTTTATTGTTCGGCGCGGCCGCGTCCGCGACGAGAGGCCGGCTACAGGCCGATCCTAAAATCGCCATGTTAAAAACTCACGTTTACTAGCAAATTGAAGAGATTTTCTACAAATTTTAATATTACGTCTATATATAAATGTATACTTATTTATTCATGTGTGTATGTATGTATGTAAGTGTGTATTTGATTTAGTCATACATTATGTATATTACTATTAACCACATATGCAGTAAACGTTCCTTTACGTATTTTTTTAGTTGCCTGGAAGAGATCACTATGAAGCAATAAGTCACCAAACTGTGCATTCCATAAATTTTAATTTTATATTGTTAATTTTGTATATAATAAAAGTATTTATTAATTAATTAAGTATCGTATTTAATTATTATAAAATTCAGAAGCGTTTTAGTCTACGTATTTTCTCAAATAACATAGCTTACATAAATGTTCATGTGACAGATGATTTGACAGATGATTATTTGCCAACTCACTACAGTCAAATTCCGTTCAGCAACACACGAAATAAGTTAGTAAGGATTAAAGTACAATCATTAAATTATATTATATAGTTAAAAGCTACAGTAAAAAAAAATGTCTAAGTTCATAACATAGACTTTGGGAACAGCCTGTATATCTTGATTTTTTTCGTTCGCTGCGTGTAAAAGCACCTTAGTACAGATGTATCTACACGTAATGATAGCCAGTCAATATATTCAAACTGTGATTGATAGCCAATGCGCTATATTGGCAAAAAGCCTCTATTGAAACTGTCTCGGGTTTGCGGCCATTATTAAATTAAAATATCACTCACATAATTGTAAAGTAGACTACATACTGAGTAGACGACTAGAGTAAATTAGAAGCATCGCACTCCTGTATCATCGGGAATAAGAATCGATAATTCCTGCTACGCTCATCATAAAATGTTCTTTCTTTTATTGAATTCTAATGAAAACTGTATAGTCAATAACGTTCCAAGTACGACATATGAACACATGGTATGTCTGTAGCATGTTCTTAACGTCCTAGTTTGAAAAATTTGAACGCGATTTGGGTCGTTTCGCTGTTATTCTTTTTTTTATGTGAAAAGTTGCCAAGCGAGCAGACGGTTCACCAGATGTTAAGTGAATACCGCCGCCCCTGGACATCTGCTACACCTGAGGGTTCCAGATGCGTTGACAAACTACTATACTTCCACTTTACGCCGGTCTTCTGTGAGGTCGTGGTACTTACCCGGACGAGTCCGCCCATTAGTGCAACACCCGAGGCTGCTGCGTGGTCCTACCACCAAAAATATTCATTTTATTTCATTCGTTTATCGGCTATAAACGTCAGCCGCTCAGCGATCTATAGAGCGAGCTGTGCTGGGTATTTCTCTGCGTGATTAAATACGCCACGAAGATATCCGAAGTATAAACAAATAGCCGACATAGCTCAAAAATAAGTATGCAAAAGTTGCAATGGGCCGGCCATAGCTCATGAACCGATAACTAATGGCGAAGAAAGGTTCTCAAGTAGCAGTCTAGTTCTAGCCTTTGTAGTGTAGGATGACTCACAGTAGATGGACGACCTGTGCAAATTTGCGGGAAGTCGGCGGATGCAGGTGGCACAGTGGCCTATGTGGGCTCTAACGAGTGATGGTGATGTGTCGCTTTAAGAGCTATATAAAGTAAAAGCGAAATTCAATAATAACCCGCCGCCCATAGAGAACTAAAACACCTGACAGATTAAAAGTGCGTTGCCAGCCATTAAAAAAACTGGGCCCTGGTCCCGTCACATACCAGACGAAATGAATCGCATGGTTTAAAGTCAAACGAGGAACTATTAATTTAAAAAATATAATTCTTGTAGAATATTCTTCATATATATCAAATAAGCCAATTCTAGTTTTCGACCAAGATGTACGATTGAAACCCAAATAAAAAAAAACAAGATAAAAAAACAAGTTCGTACTTATGTACACACGTAAGAGGTTATACTTATTTAGCGTAACAAAAGAAAAATAACTAATAATTTTATCCCCTGTGCCAGTAGGTACTCTTTGTTTGTGAAAGAGACATTAAACTCAATTGATAACAATTTAATTAGATAACTTGGAATTACAGTTAAATATCAAAAAGATATATTTGATGACTTCGTGGCGCAGTTGCCAAGGTATCAATCACACACGTTATCATCACACGGGACAACTATTTGCGTGACCCACAGATAGTTGTTTCGCATCTGGGTGTTTGTCTGCGTGAAATTTATGTTTGTAAAACGTCCTTACAACACAGGATAATGTTATTCTAAAGTAAGGGCAATGTTTTTTAAAAGAAATAAAAAAAACACTGTTATCGGTTGCTATGGGAATACCGTCATTACGTTCACTTTGCAACCAACTTCAGCATGTCCCTTTTTAGGTATCGGTGTGTTTGTACATCTTAAAAATTTTACTCTCATAATTTTTTTCAAACGCGTCAAAAGAAGTACAACTACTAAAACCAAGAAAGCACCATTTGAAATTATAGCAAATTCTGTATTCGAATAATTAAATGTAACGAATACCGCTCCGATACGTCCTATAGCTAGAACCTCAGTTCATCACTCGTCTTATAAAACTTCAAATCGAACGCTTCACTGGCTCTGTTTTGATCTCTTGCCGGCGTGGTTTGTCAGATGTCACGAGATACGGCGGCTGACGAATCCAATGCGATCTACACGTCCGGCGGCTGGCTGATATGGATCTTGTGTACGTTTATTGACCGTTTAAACAGGCCAATTGATTAGAGCGGTCATACTGGTTTGGGTTTTCTGTGAAATCGCATCGATCCCGGACCACATTTATCTCTGTATCGGAAGCGAATATTTCAATGATCGCTCAACTCTTCCCAAACTCTACCATTATCAGACGATAAAACGCACAAATGTTGTTGTCCAACGGTGGACATAAGTCTCTACAGACAGATGACACTACCGAGAGCCGTTAAACTTATCGATAATAAATGAAAAACGATCATGTACAAAGATAAAACACATATACTTAGTATATAGCTATATACTAAGTATTAGCTATTTCTATAAGCATTTAGATAAGTAACTTTAGTGAGTCTATGAATCCAATTAAGGATTTTTAGAAAAATGCCCCTCAATTACTCGACTGCGCCAGAAGAAGGGTTATGTTTTCAAGAGTATGTATGTATGTATAATTG